TGCTGTAGTATTCTGATTTGTTCTTTACGCTGAGATGCTCGATTGGCTCGTTTTGCAATGGATCTCCTGTGGCTAAGAATTTTATGTTTGGATTATTGTTCATGAAATTGCTGATGTGTCCAAGTGAACTAACAGTGTGACAATAAATTTCATCAAAAGCAATGCATTCAAATTGTGAGATGTCGAATTGTTTTGCATTCTGTCTTGTATGCTCTTCTCCATCAAAAATAATGCCGATCAATTGGAACAGAGTGATTGCATTGTAACCACTTGATCTAATATCCAATGCCAAGGTGTTGTATGGACAAACAAACAAAAGCTTGTCTCGACCAATTGCATCAGCGAAATTCTTCACACAGGTTGTTTTACCACCACCGGCAACAGATGAAGTTATCAGTAATGGATCATTGTTCTTTAATCCAATTCTTTTATTAATTTCGGGCGTGCTGAATTCGTTAACAACGCTGAAAACATCTGGTTTTACAATTGGGACAATGAAAGCCATCATCTCTTCATATTCCTTGATGTTCTTTTTGAAGGTCACTTGTTTGTTACAATAGTATTCTGTTGCCTCAAGTTTTTTGAGTCCGCCAATTTTGTTAAAATCGTCCAATGAGTCAGGACAAACTCTCAAGTTTACATTTCCAAGGTAGTAGATGCAGTCAGTTTTAACTCCAAGCACTGTTCCACCAGCATTCACAATTGTGGAATATAATTTCTGCATTTTCACCCTCATTAGGTCGTAGATAAAAATTTGAATTGGTAAAAAGCCGTCCACAAGTTCTGCCTCTGCAACTTGAGTCAAAATGTAAACAACTGGAGTTTTGTAGTAGCCTTCTTTATCAATGTTGTAATATTTAAGCTTCTCTTCCCTACTCAATGCAGCAACTTCTGTTTCGGTCATTTCAATTTCGTTTTCAGATGTATCAAAGGTTGATATTTGGCCACCGTAAAGTTCATAATCTCGGTATGCTTCTGTGTAATCTGTGTAAACCTTGTTTCGATATGATTTGTTTAGCTTTTTGCCTGTGCATCCAATAACTTCATTTACACAAAATTTTCGATCACTCTCAATTAATTCTGAAGAGTATAACTCTCTGATCAACGCATGAATTCTATCTGAAAACGGCACAACTTTGGAAGGCGTACAAACTGCGATAATAGTGATGTCGTTTGCGAGGAGTTTTCTGTAACTACCAAGTGAGTACCCTGTCATCAAGTTGTATTTAGTTGTAATCAGACATGGATACTTGTATTCTTCTCCATGATATTCGACGAAGTACAAACTGTTTGCGTCGATGATCTGTCCTGTATACGGAACAAATTCGTCAAATGTGTTAAATACAGGAATTCCAGCAAACATACCAAGTATATTTGATGTATAGGCTTTGTTAAAATCATACGCATTGCAAGGGACAGCAGTTCTATCTGGTGGAATCATATCAACCATTGCACAGCAAGTAGGGTGACATGAGAACAATGTCATCATGGTTTTCAAGCTTTTGCTGTAGCGTGATAGTGTATTTTTATTCAAGATGGTGTTTTTGATATCGTCTTGGAAGCGAACAAATGTTTTGTAGTAATTGACACTTGGGAATGAGCGTTCTGCTTCGTCCTCAAAGTACCCTGCATTTACTACGCGGAATATCTTTTCGCCCACTTCGATTCTCACGTCTGTAGCAATACCATGTCTGTGCTTGAACATAGGATAATATCCATTGGTGAGCATCTTTTGGACGACTTGGTTCAAATTACCAGTGTAATACACAGTAAAATACCCTTTTTCTTGTTCAGTTTGAATTACAGACAGTTCAGCTATGTCATGAACAAAGAAAGCATCTTTTTCCATGCCAAGCAATGGATAGTGAGGCTTGACTATCAGTTCATCAGCATCTGTAATATCGGTATCAGACGATGAATCTGCCATCCAAGCTTGTAAACATCCAATGTCTCGATTCAAGCGATAACAATGAGTGTTGTGAACCATTATGTATAAGGTTGAAGGTGCGATATTGTGATTCATTTCTTCTGGCTCATAGAAATCGATCAAATCCATGTGTCTGTCAAATGCAACGAGTCGTAATCGGTACTTCTTGAAAAAGTTCATCATTATTTCAAGTGATACACCTTTCAAACGCTCTTTGTCAAACTTTTCAGTTGGATAGAAGGCTTCCCAAATCATTTCGTGAGTGAGATCGTCATATCTGCCTGATTTTGCAAAACCTTCGCGATACACATCAAGCAACAGATCTGGTACACAGTATCCTTGATTCTCCGTATCGATTTTCTCATCTTTGAACAACGAATTCCAATCGATTGCATTCTCAATGAAACGGGTGTAGAGCTTTGGTGCTGATGCAGAGTACATGAACTGCTCGCGTGGATCATAATCTCCAGCATTTGGCATATCACGTTGAAGTAACCACTCAATGATAATCATACCAGACTGGATACAACTGCGTAAGAATGTGACGTCGATTTCATTCTCGTCCAACGCACGCACCATATCATTGGAAGACATTAGACCATTTATGGTTTGTCCTTCAGGGTAGTTGATGCTGACAGGATCAATTTCCAGTTCTTCTGCCAGTCTCTTCTCGAGAATTATTTTGGACAATTTTGTGTCTGATAATCTACGCCACACCAGAGGATCGATACCTTCAAACTCTCTTGTAACAGCACGTTTTTGTTTCTTACCTTTTGGAGTTTTCTTTTGTGGCGCTTTGGCTGGTGCCTTCTTCTTCGGCAATGAGTTTGTTTTTGATCGAGTTGTTGCTCCAGCACCTTCTTCTTCCGAAACGAATTCAAGATTATCGATCAACTTTCCTAATTCACGCTTGTCTGTTACCGCTACAAAATCACGATCTGGAACCCATACTTGATACGTGAGCTCAACCAACTCCTCTCTTGGAGGCTTGATGACTTCAGCCCATGTTAATTTCTTCTTGATTTTGTTGTCAGCTTTTCGCTCAAGTGCGTTTACTATTTTGTGGTAAACTGTCATTTGTCTGCCATCTTTCACAGTATCAATATGGCGTTTAATGGCGTTGCGAGATCTGGATGTAATATGAGTATCATCCAATCTGTTCAATAATTTGAAGGCATTTTTGCGTAGCTTGTTGTACTGATTTTTTGCTGCAGCCATTCTTATAGATACATTATTCAAATATTTTAATTTTTATATCTTTTTAATCTTTTTAATCTTTCGGAGAAAATCTCAAGTATAAGTATAAAATATGGCAGAATTGACTCCACCTCATGCAATTGATCAACTCGTTTCGCTCATCACAACTGCTGATGCTGATCTTCAGGCTTTACCTCGCGACGATCTTGCCAAGCTTCGCTCTAAAATTCGTTTACACGACAGGTGTGCTGCTGCTGTCAAGACCATTTGCAAAGAGTACAACTTGAAGGAACCAGCAGGCCTCACAAAAGCCAAGGCAGAGCCAGCCCAAGTCCGTGTTCCTGCAGTTATTGAAGTGAAACAACCTGCTGTGAAGAAAGCACCTAGTAATGCCAATGTAGCCAAAGCACGCAAGATTGCCAAGGCGGGAGCAATCAAAGTGAAGGCATAATTGATATAAATATTTAAAAATATTGGTATCATATAGTAAAATGCAATCAGAGCAAGAGTTCAACACAATCCTGAACCAAACGGCAACAATTGGAGGTCAACTCATAAAATATACACAAGACACTGACATGGTTGACGGGAAGGTGTCTGACGAAGCAAAGTTACACCTGAGAATGATCATTGGGAAGTACGCGTTGTATGAATCCTTGTTCCATCACAACAGGTACCTACGTTTGAGATCGCAACTGCGAGAACACCTGCCGTCCATCTGGGTGCTTTTACCTGAGTTTGAAAAGGAAGGGGTTGTGACAGGAGATGATGTTCATGATTTGAAACGGATCAAGCTACAGATTCTCACGAGCAAACACCCAGAACATTACTTGATATAAATATATAAAAATATTAAGAAAGTATAGTGATGACAATGGAACACCTTGATTATGTTTTGAGACGTTTTAAAGGCATGCAATCAGATCTGTATGGTATTGAAAAGGAAATAGAGACTCTGACCGAAGAGCTAGAAAATATAATTAAAGAACTCCAAGAAGAAGGGAACAGTCACGATTGCAAACTTTTTGCATACTGTGACGATGAATGTATAATGGACGGAGATATAATGTTGAGGGCTGACGATGTGTGGTGTACAGATGGTGATTCAGATAATTGTGATTCAGATGAATAATCGGTAAAAATAATCTCATATAAAATTGTCTGTGTAGGTTTACATAGCAGTGCAGTAGTAGCTCAGAGGTAGAGCACCAAATTAGACTTGAAGCGCGTGGGTTCGATTCCCACCTCTGCACAGCATCAATAATTTAATGGTAGAATATCCGTTTTCCAAATGGACTATGGCGGTTCGATTCCGTCTTGATGCACTAGCGCCTTCCGCGGTCATGTCTTCACTTTGAACGGTGATGTGGTAGGGACGTTATAGCATGACAGTTGATAGCTGACGAGCTATGGACTGTCAGTGAGAGACATCGGGAGACATACCGAGCTGTACATAGGTTCGATTCCTATCATTTCCATGTTAATATGCAAAAATGATATAAAAATATAAAAATATTGGTATATCATATAGAAATGGAGGAGTTTTACAAGAAAGTTGAAGAGGCATGTGACACGTTCTGTAAACGAGAAGTGTTAAATTCTCTCCTTAATGACAGTGAGACGATCGCAAGGGAATCGTACTTCACACTCACAGTGTCTCGCTCCCATAACTCGTATAAGGTGATGCTGTTTATCAAAAACAAAAATTCATCAAGATGGGAAGACATAGATGAAATCACGGTATGCATCGCGCAGGAAAGTTTGTTAAGTTGCGGGATCATGGATGAAATCTACGAAAATTGTCAGGACATTATGGAAGTCAAACGAGAAAAGTATATCGAATTATTGGCAGACCCAGAATACACACTTCCAATGAAGTGGACGATTGCTAGGTTCAAATTAGCAGAAATTGGAAATCACGAGAGTGGAGCCAGTGTATTGGATTATAACCGTCAAGTTGAGGAGTTACACGCCATTGGGGAAGAATTGGGGTACGCCGTGAAGTACAGAGAGCTGACCCAAGAAGAATTTGATAAATTATACCCCTATGAGAATTACGTTCTGTGTGATGACAAAGATGACGAAGATGTTTATGTTTATTTACGAGCGAAACATGCAAGCGCAATGTGCAAGAAGGACACTGACAAATATGTGTATGAATATTTTACAAGAGCTGAATTGATGGAATCTAGGAAACCTTAGTGTCATTATTACGATATAAAAATATAAAAATATTGGTATATCATATAGAAATGGGACGAATCAAAGAGCTTATGCTTGAAGAAGCAACAAAAGAGAACACATCCCGCTGCGAATTCTGTATAGAATCAATTGCAATCGGTAGACGGTATCACAAAACGTGTTACAAGAAAGCCATGAGAATAATCGATCAGTTGAATCGCTGGAATTTTATGTTCCCAGATTCACCGAAAACGGAAGTATCATTTTGGCTGAACTTGCAGGATATTTTTCCTGACAATTTCTTCAAATTCACAGAAGATGATCATTATGTTTAATTAAACTTAGTAATCTTTACATTTCAAGTACAGTGCATCTATCAGCCAACCGTTTCAATTCCGCCAACACAGTCTCATACTTGACATTCAAATCATTTAATGAGCCTAATTGTATCTTCAAGGTGTTGTCGATATTGTTCACGTCTGCACGCAACTTTCTGACTTCTTTAACAGCATTGGGCTCTTGTTTCACTACAGGGTCTGTCATTATACCTTCTAATGAGAAATTTAAGCAACGTAGGTAATGACAACAGCGTAAGACTGACTGAGAATATTTGACGCACTTGCTCCATTCGCGACATTGAGCACCCATGGACTACTCGAGCCGGTAACGTAGGGAATAATGTATTCTGCAGGGTTGTCCCTGACAAGCATCGGAATACGACTTCCTCCATTATTGGTCACCGCTCCGCTAATGGACACGATTTTGGTCTTGTCGATAGTAATGTTTTGTGTTACACTACTCGAAGTGCTGGAGGCGGTCGTTCCAGTGAAGACAGCCGTTTTGATGCCGGTATTACCAGTTCCAAGTGATGTGAAGCCTGCAACATTCAGCCCAGTAGCCACATTCAATGCAGTTGTTGTAAAGGTCGCCACATTGGTTGAGTTTGCACTGACACCAAGTTGGTTTGTTCCAGCAGAGTACAGACCAGTGTGGTCATTTGTCGTAAAAGTGTAAGCTGGATTTGTTGCGTTTCCGTTTCCGGCAAGAAACTGGATGGTGGCATACACCCGTGCACCAGTCACACTGCCTTGGGCAGCGACATCGAGACCGGTGCGGATACCCAATGCATTGAAAAACGCGCACATTGTACCACCCGCAGAGACACACAGCGCACCTAAATCACTGTAGATGCCAGTGTCAGTGTCACTTGCAAGCGCGATCGCCGGCGTGGAAGCACTGCCATCGGGCACAAGAAGCGCACCAGTAAGAGTACCACCAGCCAAAGGTAAGTAATCAGCATCAGCAACTGCAGTATCAACGTAACCTTTGGTTGCTGCATCATCAGACTCCGATGGAGTGCCTAGTGATCGTATTACGTTTCCACTCATGTCGATTGTCCCAGTGACCGTTGTATCTGGTAAGGTAGCGGAAACGGACGCCGATATTGACTCTGCAGTCACGTCCCCAGTGATATCACCGGTGACATCTCCAATCAAGGCTTTACCTGACGGGATGTAAATGCCATCGATAAATTGTTTTTCACCTCCGATCTCACTAGGCAATCCAGAATTAATAACAGTCCACCGAAATAAAACGGGATCATACACAGCTGTAACATACTGGTCTCCCCTGTTCGGGAAAAAGACTGTAATGCCTCCATCGACTCCGTTCTTTGAAAAGTATGCATTGACGTAAGAATTCGTTCCATACAAGTTTCCTGATTCAACAAAATTCCTCGTGACAACTTTGAGAGTAACTTGATGGCCTGCAACTGGGTTTGTTGGGTAGTGGATATTGATATTAGCGTCATCGTTAACAGGGAAGTCCACGATAATGAGTCTGTCAGAATCTAGGACAGTGTATGAATAATCATCGCCTTCATCTGGTTGTGTGGTTATTCTAGTCACACCTGTAGAGAGACCAGCAACAGCTGTCTGAAGATCGCCAACATCAGTTTCCAAAGCTGCGATATCACTTACCACTGTAGACATACTATTAATAGCTGTCTGAAGATCACTAACATCAGTTCCCAAAGCTGTGATATCATCAGTTATCTCACTAAGATCAGTTGAAGTTACAACAGTCTTTAAATCCCCTTCAAATCCTACTTTAAAAGCATCGTCAGCATCATCGAAAACAATGTATGCATTATTTTCGCTGCCTCTGTTGATCAATAAGCCTGATTGTGTTAGTCCAGACAAACCTGCACCTGTTTCATTTTGATTCAATTCAATAATTTTGTCATTAACCTTAACATCAACACTAGTAACAGTGGCTGTTGTTCCTGTTAATGTGAGGTTTGAAGCTGTGCCGTTGATATTGTTCACTTTACCAGCAAGACGCTCATCGACATATGCTTTTGTGACGTTACTATTTCCATCAGTAAAAAGCGCAGGAATAAAAGTTGGAACTGTTGACATTTATACCTACCTATTAGAATATTTTTAATATGCCTTACATATATACAATGAACAACGCTGCTGATAAATTATTTGGGTTATTCATGAGATCGAATGTGTCTGATGTATTGAAAAAAGTCCATGCCGAGCACATTGGTGAAATCTTTAGTACAATCGAGTCTGTTTTACAAGCTCTTATAAGATCAATGGAGTTTATCGAAGAGCACTTCCCTGCGCTGCAAACTGGAACAAATAAAGTGCAAAGAAAAAGCAAGAAACAAGTGCACATGCAGCTGTTCAATGAAGCACTTCAAAACAATAACGTTGATCTTGAAAGTGTAGGCTTGAGTATTGAATCAGTTGGTCATATCACCGATCAGTTGGTTGCTGCATCCAAAGGAAATCTCAAAATTCAAACTCCGGTTTCCGTGAAGGAAACAGTAATTGACAATACACCATCCGACACTGTGAGTGTTGCTAGTACAGTACCAACATTATCTGAGTCATTGCCGATTGACCTAGGTATTCCACCTGAACTGACTGGCAAGAAAAAAAAAAGAACATTTTCGCGCAAGTAAGTAGTTTCATATGCATGTTAGGTTTATGTTGCTTGGAACTGCATGATATAGTCTAATTTAAGAAAAGGAATATTAACTCCTTATCTTATGATATGAATGAGCACACCACACGACGAAGATGAATTCTGGCGAAGACACCAAGAGTGGTTGCAAAGCCGACAAGGTACAAGCGCTAGAGATGTACTTGATAGAAACCCTCGCCAAAGAGCAACTAGAGTAATCGACCCTGAACCATTGATAGGTGTACCGATCAATGGACTTCCTCCAGCTGCACAAGAAGGTGAGGGTATTAGTAGTAAACTAGCAGAATGGAAAGAACGGCTGGTGGGTAAGAATCCGGTTTCCAACGCTGTCAATCAAATGGTTAATAACCTTCCTGTTGAGTTACATGTAATTACTCCAAAATACGGTAAGTGGAGCGCATGTGGACCTGGATCTAAAACTGGGGAGCGTATCCGAAAATACAAAGAGACTGGTGATACCAAGTACATCTACAAGAATGACCTCGATAAAGCTTGTTTCCAACATGATCTGGCATACGGTGAACATAAAGATGTAGCCGGAAGAATTCTACCAGACAAACAACTCAAAGAAGCAGCTGACAGAATTTCCAAAGACATGTCCGAGCCTGCTGAAATAAGACACGTAGCCAGTTTGGTTTCCAAAGTGTTTGAAAGAAAGATTGCATCAGATTCGAAACAACTCGCGCCCATACCTGCACCCGAACAAACAGATACCACAAGAGGTGAAGGTATACATTTCACTAACTCCTTGGCTAAACCTAGTGAAGAACTACTTAATTTCCTTGAAAATTTAAGCCTTAAGGGAGAAAAGTTCTTGAATTCTAAACTTGGGCGCAAGTTCTTATCCACATACAAAAGTGTGCTTGAAAACGACAAGGATTTTGTGGACGCTATGAAGAAGGCAATACACAAACAGAAACTTGGTAAGGGCATTCACCGTCTGATGCAGAAAATGGATAAATGAATAATGTTAATTAACATGAATCATTCGTTTCTCGGAAATTGGAAGTTACTCATGCCAGATCCCGTATTGCCATCTACTATGAAACAAAAAGGTTGTTTGACAGAACACTTTAAAGGATTTGCCTGCTGTAATTCATACAATTTCATTTCAACAAACTTTTGTCCAATTTCATTTAAGGTGTTCATGAAACGCTCCGCTTTTGCAGTCACTTGCTCGTGTACAGCGGGAGAGTGTTCTTGAATGTAAGCCAAATCACGGGCATACGTTTGTTTGATACTTTCGAATCGATCTCGTAATACATCCCGTTTTGATTTGAGCCCAACAGTATGATTATATTGCTGAGATAACATCCGCCCATTGATGTTGTTTAACAAAGAGTCTGCTCTATCATTAAGTAGCCAGAATTGCCTCTTGATGTAAGTGGCATTCTCATTCACTATTACAGGATCTAGAAATTGAATTAATGTCATTATATACTTGGAATATTTCATTCTGCTGAATCGTCCTTGTCAGGCCACTCTGACTTTTTCAAGTACAACGACTTAGGCCCACCACATTCAGCGCATGCCTGTATTCTGCGCCACTTACCTATCTTATCTTGTTCAAGTTCTTTATCATGTGAATCAGTGGCGCGCTTACATTTGAAGCAGTAACTTGGTGTTCCATTGACGACACTAGTCTTTTTGGCTTGTTGTTTTGGCATACTTGGCTCTATACTTAGGTGACAATTTCATCTTGTTTACAACACATTTGTTTGAATTTTTCGTGATGCTTTTGTAGAGCTCCTCCTGATTTATTGGCTACCTCGTTACGAATATACGCTAGAGCTTTATCGTGCGCTTCTTGAAGAGTCGGTTTCGGTTTTCCACTAGCGGGATCATAGAATTTCTCAACATACGCGCCTGCAATAGCCCAAGCCTTGTCATCCATTAACTTTTCTGTTTGTGCTTTATTCATCTCTTTTTGCTTTTTCGTTTCAATCACTGATTGTGCTATAGCATCAACTTCTTGCGCTAGAACACCCACCAACTGTGGAATTATAGGTAGTGGCAACCATTGAAAAATATTGAAGAATGTGGTCTTAATCGCATTCCCAATATCCATGTTCGCAAATGGTTTGATTGGTTCTCTAGCTTTAGCTAAGTATGCATCACGGATTTTTTGCCCTTTCGGAGTGTACACACAAGTATTCGGGAATCCAATGTTAGCATACGGACATGTGACTTGCTCTGTGGCTAACATTCGTGCTTTATCTGCCATCTCTTTTTCACTTTGTTGAGTCCAACTATCAGCGTAATACTTGTGCGGTGTTTCAAATTCTATGAAAGTTTGCTTCTGAGCTCCACCCCAGTTAAATGGATTAATTTGTCGTGGAGGTGCATTTAAATTTGCGATTTGTTCTGGTGTCAAGTTCGCGTAGTTTGGCTTGACTTTTTTGATTGAAAAATTGAATCCAGCCCCTTCTTTAACAAACACATTTTCCATCATTTTATCATTCTCCTTTAAATCATCTGAAAAGTCATTCAAGATATCAATGAAATCGCGATCTTTCCCAGCTTCATCAACCATGTACATACAGAAATAGCCGCAATACACTGAACGCATGTATTGTATGCGTCGTATGTTGAGCTCCATCTTTTTCTTAGTCTTTTTCATGAATGCAAGGATTTCTTCTGGAGGATCCACACCGAAACTATCGAAATAGAATACATTAGGAAAACGATTATCTACATGTACCCAGTGAGTACCAGCATCCTTGTCGTCTGCCATGTTGATGAAGTAGAATTTCTTCTCGGGAGTTTTTGGCAAGGTGTCTTTGGAGAACGTACCGCCATATCTATCATCATCGGCATATCTGTCGTCGAAATCGAAATTGGTAATTACTTTCATTAATTATAGGCCATATTTTCTACATCTGCTGTTCACATCTACAAGCCATACAACCACCGGATTGAGCGCCATAAACGCCATTACCCGATTGAGCACCGTACAAACCATTACCTGATTGCGCGCCATAAACGCCATTACCCGATTGAGCACCGTACAAACCATTACCTGATTGAGCACCATACAAACCATTACCTGACTGAGCACCGTACAAACCTCTGCCCTGCGTCTGAGCTGCATACAAGCCATGTCCAATCAATGGCACGATGAAACTTCCATCCCCTTTACCTATCTTTTCTTTAATGGCAGTATGCGCACCTTCAGGGAGGAGATCACTCATTGCAAGCTCAAGTAACTCTTCGACTTCTTTTTCGGAGATTTCCAACATTGCCCCACCGAATATTTTCTTGGCTGCTTCACCACCAGCATACGTGATTGCACCAGTAGCCAGTGGTTTTGCAACGGCTTTCAGTCCTTGTAGCAATGTGTTTTTCAAAATAATACCAGTCAATCCGCTCATCAAACTGCCACCTTCCTTCACATCATCTATCAATTTCAGTTGTGCTTTGGATAATTTCAAGTCATATCCCTTCTTCTTGGCTTTACGCATTTCGATCTGTTGAATCTGTTTTTCACTTAATGGTAGTTCATGGACACCTTCAAGAGCTTCTGGATTCAATTTGAGGATAACAGGTTGAAGCTCTTTCCATGCTTGTCGCAATCCTTTCAAGTGTTTTTCAGACAACCCCAGACCATAAACTTTGTGTACCATTTTTAATATAACCTATGATGATAATTTATATTAAGCTTAGTTTGTAGAAGCTGCTGCTTTGGAATTAGACATGTCAAGCTTGAGAAGGGATTCTTTTTCAGTGCATGTCATGTAACGTAAATCCTTTGAAGCTAAATCAGAATCACTGTAAATATTGGTTGCAGCCGCATTTCCAAGCGCGTTCTGTAAATTAGCTCTTAACTGAAGCTGTACTGGCTTGAAAGGATCGTTCTGGAACAGTTTGTTTCGAGATATGTCGTAACAATGAAGCTTGTAATTGCTAATAAATTCAGGATCGTTTATTTGAGAACCTGTGTCTTCGTCATAACCATCTCCACTAAACTCTTCACGAAGCAAGTTGTAATGATCTCTATCACCTGCTATATTGCCGTTAGTGTAGTAGACTGAACCATCGATCAGTATATTTGCATCCGCTACCGGTTTGGTAAAAATATATGGTTCACAGCGATCGCTACCTGTGTCCTGTAGTACTGTCTGGTTCGACCAGCCAAATACCCAGATTTTCATTGGCTTTTGAATAGATGCATTTATCATATAATCTTTACTTTCGCCAGCTGCTGAGTTGTTTGGAATATCGTTGTTGTAAATGGTGGTAAATTCAGGAACAAGATAAGAGCGTTCTATACGGTAACCTTTAGACAACACCTCAGCCTCATAACCCTTGTATGCAGTAGGCCATTCGAACTGTGGTACTCGAATAACTGCGTCTCTAACAGACATTGTGAAAGCTTTCAAATTTGCGGCATGTGCAGCATCAATTGTCAATATCTTGAACTGCTTTTCGATAAGATGCAATTCAATTTCCCAATCAATGTTGATACTGCCGTCGAACTCCAGAGGCTTGAATACAGGGGATACCATTGTAGAGGGCAATGTGAGCTTAAGGTCGATGCCGTGATAGTCTCGAGCCGCTCCGCCGGCACCAATTGTTTCAGTTTTAAAGGGTGTTCCGTGTCCCATCATGAATTTACGAGCCTTATAACCGGCATTGAAGACGAAGTTTTCTTCCAATGTGGCGTCAGTGAGCAATGTATCGGCGGCAATAGTACCGCCACCACCACCAGTCACTGTTATTTCCGCATTCGGTGTGGCGGTAAAGGTGTAATTATTGCTTTGTGGGAGAATACGCTTATATGGATCAACACTTGTGTCCTTCGCATACATAAATGTTGATCCGACAGTTTGAGCAAAATCGTCCGACCAGTTAATAAGGCATTGAATATGGTTGTACAAATTTTGGAAGCGGGTATCAAGAAGAGTGACTTTGTTTGCGCGTACAACCGAGCGGAAGAATGGTGAATAGACACCGGCTGCGAGAGCAACTCTGCAAGTGGACTTGTCGGGGAGTTGGCCGGCTAAAGAAGGTGTGTAAAATGATTGACCGGCAGGAGGAGTGAAGCGTAAAACAACATCTACAAACGAACCTGCTATACTATCCCGATCATTAAATTTCGACCCCCCCTCGTTTTTTCACTTTTTCGCCCTCCCTGGGACCTGTGTTGCTTTCCGTCTCGCCCGCGGAATGTTCATTCATGGTACAGTGTACCAGACACATTTTAGAAGTGAAGCAGCGGGCTGGGAGTTAAGATTCGAAGCGAGAACAGACAAAAATGAAAACTCAAAAAAACAGAAAAAGAGCGGCTTTTTTGCCCAATTTTCACAAAGCATTACATGGCACACAAACAACGTGTCGCAGCGCCTTCGCTCCACTTCAGTACTTGGTATAACCACCATTGGCATCTATCACAGCTTGAATGCGGCGCGGCATCGATGAAATGAGATCGCGGCAGACCTCTGGCGTGAGCACTTCTTCGTAGACCGCTTGGAAGCGTTCCCACAACGCGGCCTTGCTCTTGATCTCCCTCTCCTGGTAGATCTTGTTCTTGACCATGTTCCACGCATTTTCGATGGGGTTGAGGTCGGGAGAGTTCGCAGGCCAGTCCAGGACGGTGATCTGATTGGTTTCGAACCACTTCGCCACATCTTTTCTTTTGTGACAAGGGGCATTGTCATGCATGAAAATCATCTCGTTTTTGTTGTTCCACACGCGAATGCTTGCTAGCAACTCGCTCTCCAAAACTGAGAGGTAGGTGTCGCCGTTCATGACGTCGCCGACCTCGCAGAAAAGCGAAATTCCGAAACGAGAGATGGCGCCCCAAACATTGATATGGCCACCGCCGAACTTGACCGTGCCCTGCACGCATCGATCGGTCAACGTTTCGCCAACCAGACGCCATACACGACCACCGTTGTTGTTCCTGTAGAGATAGAGAGCAGTCTCGTCGGAGAAGACGACCCTCAGCCAGTCATCGACGGTCCAATGCTGATGAGCGAGTGCAAAGGCCAAGCGTCGCTCTTTGTGTGTCTCTTTCAAGAGGGCTTTTTTGACCTTCGCTCCGTTGACAAGTCCTGCACCATGCAGCACCCTTCTTATCGTGCATGGAGAGACACGAACTTTGGACAATGTGCGCATAGTGGCGGCCACTTCGGGTGCGGTGTCGGACTCATCGAGGAGGATCTGTGCTACAATGTTGTTGCGGTGAAATGACTTGAGCTTGCTGGGGCGACCGGGGCGGGGGCTGTCGCTCGTCGTCGCCCTTCCCGAGAAACGTTGGGTGATGCTGATCACTGTAGAACGTGGGAGGTGAAGCTGGGTGGCGATCTTGTTGTAGGAGAGGCCAGCATTTCGCAACGCGAGCACTTGACCGCGGACGACCTCCCTGGGCATCTTGTCCAGCACGGGCAGCGGTCTTTTTGGTGAAGTTGGACGCAGCCATACCGGGGGCTGTCTGGGAGCCACGCGGGACGTGGACTGACTGCGTGTGCGAGTCATGCGCACAAAAAGACTGAACCCAAACCAAAATTTGGGCGGGAAAAGTGAATTTTTTGAGTTTCCTTATATTTTTTATTTTGCTCGCTGCTGCTCTGATATGACTCACAACCCCCGCTCCCGGTGTTCATCAGACGTTCGGTACACCGTACCATGAATGAACATTCCGCGGGCGAGACGGAAAGCAACACAGGTCCCAGGGAGGGCGAAAAAGTGAAAAAAAGAGGGGGGGTCGAAATTTAATGATCGGGATAGTATGTGTCCAGTAATCGCGGAGAGTGCTGGTGCTAAAACGAATACCTTGATCGAATTGATTGTTATCAATGGTTTTCAAGGTTTTGTACTGATATGACGCGAGAGGGATAGGAACAGCATTCTCAGGCAACAAGTTACCTAATACGCTGCGTGCAATCAAATGGTCGACGTTCATTTATATAATTATACTTGACAAAATTTAATTATATGACATTAGCCAACAACGTACTTCACATTCCCTCCACGTTTTGCCTTCGGTTTCGCTCCACTACCAGACTGCACGCTTTTTGCTTCTGGAGGGGTTGATGTTGGAGTTTTTGTTAGTGGCGCCAATGCAGGTGCTGATCTTCGATATGCCTCAAGAATCTGTTGGCGTTTAGCTTCTCGATCAGCACCGGTAGTTGGCGCTGATACTGTCGCTGTTGGAGTTGAGGATGGCTTCACTTCCTTAACAGTGCCGCTTGAAGCCTCCTTTTGAGCATTCACAACGTCAAGAATCTTCGCAGCACCTGCTTCACCAAGTGATTTGAGCTTTTCGGTACCAAACTTTACTGTAGCATCCTTTGCTGATTGAACCAATTCTGGGTTGTTCTTTACAATCTCTGCTGCTTTACTACCGGTATTTTTAGCAGCCTTGAAAAATGCGGCACCCAAGGCTTTCATACCATCTTTCCAGCCTGCACCATGGCGTGTGCCATACTTACGAAGCACTGTGTTGTCACGTACCCCTGTAAATGAACCTCTGCCTGCTTTCATGTAGCCATATCCCTCAATGTAAACTTTTCTACGTCCGGCATAATTTGATCTACCTAGGTGTGATCCTGATCTTACGTGTCTCATTCGCTATATCAATAGAGACGAAAATATTCAAGGCAATGATAAAGTCAGTTCTACAGTCATATTCGTGTCTTCAATATCCAGAGGTCGATTTGCTTGATCTACAAACCATACACTGATTTCCTCTATTGTTGAATTGTTCACCGACACCCAATTTGGGTATGTTGCCGACTCTGTAATCACCTTACCGGCGGCAACTGTGGGTGTATGCGAGTACACTGCTTGTGCATGGGGTAATTCTATGTTATTTACGATATCTGTGTTGACGATTACAGTCTGTACTCGATCAAATTGAGGCACGTTTTGTCCGTTATATGAACCTGCAGTGTATGTCGCTGCAGTGTATCCAATGAAAGTCGCAAAGTTAGTCGCGGGAACAACCACTGAATATCCAGTGTCGATTACCAGAGAAACACGGTTTTGAGTTGGATTGGCATAGAAGTTAATTGGGTACACTTCACTACCATCTACAGTTGTGAAGTGTGAGTTGGCTTTCATCACATTGTGAAGAGCAGCATTCATTGTTGAAACCTCATACAACCCCGTCTCAAGTGTAACAGGATAGGTCGTTGCGCTATGAATGTACGAGAATGTGTTATTTCCATATGATGCTTTCACATTCGGATAAGCAAAAGGAAGAGCGAACTTACGGAGACAAACTTCAGCGTTATACAACATGATTGGTTTGGATAATTTGATGGTAAGTTTGTTGACCTCAGACTTGTCGGCAATGTTCTTGGCTTGTGTTAAGATAACAGGTTTCTTGGGCATTATACAATTAACTAACATATTTCTCTAGTATATGTCGTGATTCCTTCGGTGTTAATGCTTTTGCCTTACGTAAATATTCAACCATCTCGGCTATTTGATTCTTCACTTCAATGCTGTCGTTCCCTGCATCTGTCTCAGCCATCAACAGTTTCAGCTTCTCTTTCAGCTCCGTTTTTGACTGTACAATGATATTCGTACCTGCACCTTCAATTATTTTTTGTTTTGTAGATTTCGAAAGATCGTGCTTCGTTTTTGCGACCAGCTTTGCGTAATATGTGCGTTCTCCATCTGTGAGATCCAATTTATTAGTATTGATTTTCTGCTTAGTAAACAGTTTCTTGAAGTTGTCTGAAATGTTTGCGTTCGGGAAACCATCGAGCTTTCGACCGTCTGCTTTGGAAATCGATAATACATTCTTCTTCAACTTCTTTTTGTCAATAAAACAGTCACCAAAGGGAATGGATTCACGCACAGGGCGTTTGTAAACACCTTGACCCGAAGTAGATGGTTGCTTTCCTTTGCGTATTGTATTTAATTCTGTTTCCAAGTTTCGTATTTTATTTTCCCGTTCGTCCACACTTTCCTTAACAAATAACCAATCAGTATATCTTTTTATCATATTATCGTATGCGTTGTTTTGTCCACGGTATATTAGTTTGTCGACTTGTTTTTTGATTCTGTCGTTTTTTTGCAACAACTCTGTTTTCAATGCGGCAACTGCTTCATTATTATTTTCATTCTTAGCATTTTCCAACTTGTTCAATATCTCATCGCGCTCTGACCTTTCATTAAAGATGTCTCGTGATAAATTATTGTACTTGTCTTTCCATGCAGGTGGAACTTGTTC